ATACATAATGTATTATAAATAATAGAGCTAATGTACAGTACACATTACAACAAAGGCCTGCAGAGGGCACAACGGCCTGGTGATTATTTTTACACATTACTGTGCGATCTAATACTTGTTTAATATTAACCAAGCACCATTTAATTCAAATGTCCACTTAATCTTTAATATTTGGCCATTTCTTTAGGACAGAAATGCTATAGCCACTGTAATTAAAAGAATATGTGGACATCAAAACGTGTAAACTCAGAGTGAGGGCGTACACACCTCACGCATCAGATGCCGTGCGCGCGCTCAAGGAAGTTGGACATAGTGCTGTATTAGAGGTAAAAAATGATATAAATCCTGTTCGGTTTCTCGCACAAACCGATCGTTTCGTGTCTTAGGACATCAATGTGTCGTCACGAGCCGCAGGGTTTAATTTGGATTTGTCTGTGCATGTTTTTTTTACTCTCATAGATTTTACCATTTCCATGCATTATACGACTGAGAGACTGCAACGGCTGGACTTAAAAATAATAATTTGTGTTCTACTGAAGAAAAAAAAGTCACCTATATCTTGGATGCCCTGGGGGTAAACAGATAAACATCAAATTTTCATTTTAGGGTGAACTATCCCTTTAACCTACAAGCATTTAAATAATTAAAGCGCATATACTGTATTAGAACTGCATTGCATATAACAAGTCTAATAATCACTGATCAGTGCTAATAATGTGATTTATGGAGTCTCGTCCGTGAAATGCGCCACTTCCGGTATTTTGGCAGTTAGTCGACGCGAGCAAAATGAAGTCGAGGATTTTTAAAAATCGAATAGTCAAATAAAATCGACGAATCACGACAGCCTACCCATGGCCGGACTTACCATTGGGCTTGAATGGGCTGCAGCCCAGGGGCCCCGCCTTGTAGGGGCCCCGCCTTAACCCGTTTACATTTGTTCAGTTATGTGCCAGTCAGAAATTATTAGCCGCATTTCAACTGCGCACACGGGCCAGCCGGGGCTAACAGCTTCCAGCTTCCAACTACGACATTCAAAGCCATAATCAAACAACATAAACTAGAATTTATGATTTTTTTTCACATAGAAAAAGGACACGTATTAAATCACGTCTGCGTTGCGCCGAATCGCCGATTAATTTGTGATCACATGGCTACTTTAAACGGTTCCATCAAGCCTTTAGCCCAAAAGAGCGCACATTTACAAAGATAATAAATTCTCACGTTCACGCCTCACTTCTTTACAGAGGATGATTCTATATTATACTAATGTTCCACTAAATTAATCTGAAGAGTTTTGAGCGCTCTTTCCCGTCCAAAGACTAGAATACCATCTTACAGGGACTTTGTACCGTCTCACTACCTCCACACAAAGTGGAGCAGAAATGTATCAAAACGATTAAAAATAAATAAAAATAGCCATTTACAGGGATCGTACGGTCATGAAAAACCCAGAAAGCTTTGGAAAAGTCGTGGAAATTTATTTTACAAGTCTTTATATAATAGAATATATGTTTAATCACGTCCTGAATCTCGGTGCGGAATTGCGCGTTTTGGTTTTACTCATTTTCGCAGGTTTTGCACGTTTGGAAAATTCCCGCAAACATTTATTTAATATACAATGTAGGTTAGATAAGTTAAAAAGATTCACACAGAATATCAGATCAAGTCAATCATTTGAAAAAACAGCGTGAGTGGTTCAGCTGTACCGCTTCTTCTCGCTCTCACTCTCTTAAAATTGCCTCACATCAGCGCATCTCATCTGCACTAAGAGAGCTGCTGCATGCTGCCATACAAGACTTTAGCTCAGCTGACAGAGCTGTCACTTGCCTAATCGGGTCAGTGTTGCATCATCACAAAAGTTTATTATTTGCTCGTCTTTTTAAACCAGTCGGTACTCAAGCGCTCCAAACTAGTTTTCTGGGCGCTCAGTCACATCCACAGCGCCCACACATGAACAAACTCACAAACACCTCAAGAAAAAGTTATTGTTTTCATTGTTTCTGACTCAAGTAACCTTGCATTTTAATAAATAATGTTACATAAAGACAATTAAACGGTCAGTAATAAATGAACAAGTTACTAGCAATAGCACAAGGATACAAATGAAACAAACTGTTTTAACTTTTTCAGGTAGACTAGCCTAAAACTAACAGTAGCTTCTACTATTCAGGAACAAAATACTATGATGTATAAAGTCATAGATCTAGATTATATTTATATATTAATCCATATTAAATATGAAAAAGATATTTAGTCAAGAGCAGATTTGAGCAGAGTGATTTTTTTTTCTTTTGTTCTTTAACACAGACTGACAGACAACAGGTATAAAAGCTGCTGTCACTTTCATACCAAATGTTAATGTTAACCATGTTAATTAATTAGGCCTTTTGGTTATTGTTAATTAATGTTAACAACAAAAGACAAAATCACTCGTTGCTCTTGACTGAATAACTTTTGTAACTTTAATTTTAAGAATTTATCTGTTGTTTAATTTACAGTGAATTTACAGTTTTTAATTTACAGTTTATTCAATTTCTGTACCTGAATTTTCTTAAGCATATGCTATGATAAATCTGAACATTTGTGTAAAATAATGGAGCATTAGGTCATAAATATTGCCTTAAAAGTCATTGAACGGTTCCATCAAGCCTTTAGCCCAAAAGAGCGCACATTTACAAAGATAATAAATTCTCACGTTCACGCCTCACTTCTTTACAGAGGATGATTCTATATTATACTAATGTTCCACTAAATTAATCTGAAGAGTTTTGAGCGCTCTTTCCCGTCCAAAGACTAGAATACCATCTTACAGGGACTTTGTACCGTCTCACTACCTCCACACAAAGTGGAGCAGAAATGTATCAAAACGATTAAAAATAAATAAAAATAGCCATTTACAGGGATCGTACGGTCATGAAAAACCCAGAAAGCTTTGGAAAAGTCGTGGAAATTTATTTTACAAGTCTTTATATAATAGAATATATGTTTAATCACGTCCTGAATCTCGGTGCGGAATTGCGCGTTTTGGTTTTACTCATTTTCGCAGGTTTTGCACGTTTGGAAAATTCCCGCAAACATTTATTTAATATACAATGTAGGTTAGATAAGTTAAAAAGATTCACACAGAATATCAGATCAAGTCAATCATTTGAAAAAACAGCGTGAGTGGTTCAGCTGTACCGCTTCTTCTCGCTCTCACTCTCTTAAAATTGCCTCACATCAGCATCATCTCATCTGCACTAAGAGAGCTGCTGCATGCTGCCATACAAGACTTTAGCTCAGCTGACAGAGCTGTCACTTGCCTAATCGGGTCAGTGTTGCATCATCACAAAAGTTTATTATTTGCTCGTCTTTTTAAACCAGTCGGTACTCAAGCGCTCCAAACTAGTTTTCTGGGCGCTCAGTCACATCCACAGCGCCCACACATGAACAAACTCACAAACACCTCAAGAAAAAGTTATTGTTTTCATTGTTTCTGACTCAAGTAACCTTGCATTTTAATAAATAATGTTACATAAAGACAATTAAACGGTCAGTAATAAATGAACAAGTTACTAGCAATAGCACAAGGATACAAATGAAACAAACTGTTTTAACTTTTTCAGGTAGACTAGCCTAAAACTAACAGTAGCTTCTACTATTCAGGAACAAAATACTATGATGTATAAAGTCATAGATCTAGATTATATTTATATATTAATCCATATTAAATATGAAAAAGATATTTAGTCAAGAGCAGATTTGAGCAGAGTGATTTTTTTTTCTTTTGTTCTTTAACACAGACTGACAGACAACAGGTATAAAAGCTGCTGTCACTTTCATACCAAATGTTAATGTTAACCATGTTAATTAATTAGGCCTTTTGGTTATTGTTAATTAATGTTAACAACAAAAGACAAAATCACTCGTTGCTCTTGACTGAATAACTTTTGTAACTTTAATTTTAAGAATTTATCTGTTGTTTAATTTACAGTGAATTTACAGTTTTTAATTTACAGTTTATTCAATTTCTGTACCTGAATTTTCTTTAGCATATGCTATGATAAATCTGAACATTTGTGTAAAATAATGGAGCATTAGGTCATAAATATTGCCTTAAAAGTCATTGAAATTTATTGGATGAACGAACCCTGCATTGAATGAGTGAATGCCTACGATATAGGAGTTAGCCTATCACACAAACTAGAGTCCTGTTTTTCAGAATATCTGCACGATGGCAAATGTACAATAAACAAGAAGTTACTGAGTAACTTTCAGACACAAAATTCAGTTTTGCCCCATCAATGTGTCTCCGAGCAACAGAGTGTTTTGTTTCTCAGCATTACACGGACCAGTAAATGGTTCAAACAGGCTATAAGTACAGTCGTTTGCTAAGTTAAATGAATTAGCATTTTAAACAAATCGGTTGATTTAAGGATTCAACTCACTCATTAAGACAGTCACTTGCTGCCACCTACTGGTAGTTGTAGTTTCATATTTTAAAAAGTAGCTCATTATTTCATTTTTGCAATCATTTAAAGGGGTCATATGATGCGATTTCATTTTTTCCTTTCTCTTTGGAGTGTTACAAGCTCTTGGTGCATAAAGAAGATCTGTACATTTGCAAAGACTAAAGTCTCAAATCCAAAGAGATATTCTTTATACAAGTTAAGACTCTGCCACGCCCCCCTAAAACGGCTCGTTCTAACACGCCCCCACATATCTACCTCACTATTTTTTAAGATTTGCATAACGCCGCCCAAATGTTCATGCAAAGAAAGAAGGCGTACTTTATATTATTTAATAAAATAATAAATAATCATTGCAAAGCATTTTCGGTTTTGTTTTGTTTTTTGGCCAGAATTTTCGGTTTCGGCCCAGAATTTTAATTTCGGTGCATCCCTAATAAAATTGTTTGTGCTGTATGTTGTGTTGTTAAGTGTATATAATTATCTGCCTTGAAATCAGTACATTAATTATCTATTTTTTTTCCCCTCACTGTGTGTGTTTACACTCTGCAGGAGGCAGATGGAGATGACAGGCTTGCTTTTCCCGGTGAAGGGGAAGGAGAAATGGAGGGCGACTCCAAAGCGGACACACCAGACGTGCCACCTTCCACTGATAACACTCCACAGTGTCTCAACAAAGCCCTGGAGGGCTTGTCATCTAGGTACCCAATGGCACTGAGCTCATGTGCAACTCCCCAAACAATCTATGTCGGCATTATGTGCCTGTCCGGATGTTTAGGCCCCAGTTCAATGCACATGGGCAACTATGAGTCTCTGAGGTTTCACAAACAGGTTTAATCTGTTTTCACTGGGAAAATAGGAAACCCGTGCACTAATATTCTCAACAACAACAAAAACTTTCCACACATGAAGGATTTTTTAGTTAAATCAGTGCCATGTAAAAATTGATCCGGTTAATCTTTGAAAGCTGACACATAACCTCATAGCACAGTGTATTGCACAGGTATTCACTTTTAATTGGGATCAATAAGAGACTCTAGTGATATTTGATTTGCAGATGAGGTGAGGGGTCGGTTGACAGGGTAATGGGCCCTCGAAGAGATTAAACGGGATCTTTATTAGAAACAACCCTAATCCTTGTCAGTTTTGCTATTCTGTTGGTGGGATTTGCTGCAGCTTCTTTTTAAAAAAAGCAGAGGCGCTGGCCCAACGAATGCCTGAATGCCGGCGCCTGGCTACCCACCACACTTTGTGATGTTGCACTTTTTTTTCCTCTCCCTCCCCTTTCTCTTTCTATCCATTGACAAATTCCCTCCCATTCTTTTCAGTGGCTTGCATGAGTTGTGGCACCTGCAAATAGTTTATTACACTCTGGGCCAGAAAACTAAGTATTCACATCTCTCATGGAGCCCCATTTATAACATTTATGGCACCATCAGCATAAATCTATCCCATCCATTTTGTTCTCACAAAGCTCAGAATATCATAAATACTGTACATCGTCAATGTTCAACATTGAAGCTTAAATCAAACTGAAATCATTATCATTTTGTTATACAGTAGATCATTCTGCTCATGCCATTTCATTCAGTTAAACACACCCACATTTCAACAGTGGGGAAATCACTGGGCCATCAGTTAAACCTTTGACCCAGCTTCATTTCCACCTCTTTCACAGGCTTTTAGTTCATTTCCAAGTAAACACAAAGGGAAAATGTTGTCTATACCCTTAATAGTTGTGAGTGGGGATTTGCCAGCGCATATAAATGTATTTTGTTATACAAACTGTTTAACTGTCCTGACAGGTTTCTTACAAAACTGTAGTTTTCTTGGTTTCTGCATTCAAATTGATTTAAAAAAAATAAAAAATCTCAACAGGTGGAAAAACTGGTGGATAAGAGGCATATTGTCATTGACAATGATCATTGGCTTCTTCCTCATCATCTATTTGGGACCCATTATGCTTATATTAGTGGTAAGTATGAGTACAAACCATATATGTACCATGCAAACACTATTAACTAAACAAACACACTGACCACTGGCTAGCGAACATTTGTGGTTACTATAGAAAGCATTCACAAAACATCCCAGCTGTCCTCCTACAAACCCTTTTGGCCACGTGCCGTCATTTAGTTAATTTGTAACCCTACCTGACTTGACATAATGTAAATATTTTCAATGAAAGGTTGATATGAATCACCACAGTGTTTTAAATAGATGTTTGACCTTTGTAGGAATCAGAAACGAATAAGAAATAACGCTATTTGAATGTGTTCAGCTTTTACAACATTTATTAACTTTTTTTTATAATCCTTTTATAGGTTATGGGTGTTCAAATCAAGTGTTTTCATGAAATTATAACCATTGGCTACAGAGTTTACCATTCCTATGATCTGCCGTGGTTTAGGACTCTTAGCTGGTAAGTAAAATGCTGACTAGTTACCGTTAAATGCTTTCCTTTCACCCCTTAACTCTCCCTATCTCTCCACCCTTCCCCATTCTTTCTGATTCATGTGTTTTACATTCATGTACGCACACTGAACTACAAACAAACACACCCCCACTCTCTCACGTTTTACCAGTCACTTTTTATCATGGATGAAGTAGTGATTAACTGGACTTGAGCAAAGTGCACATCCATGTTGGAACCTAGCATAAAGTACACCCCACCTGCAGGCTTTGTCCAAACAAAACAAGATGACAGCCAAGCAGCTGAAAGGGGCCGTGTATTGTTTCCATCAAATACATTTCTTTCACTCAAATCTTCAGATCTTGACACAAAAGCACTTTGTATTTCAGGTACTTCTTGATTTGTGTGAACTACTTCTTTTATGGAGAGACAGTGGCTGATTATTTCGGCGCACTCGTCCAAAGGGAGGAACCTCTGCAGTTTCTTGTGCGTTATCATCGGTTTATTTCTTTTGCACTGTATTTGGCAGGTGAGTGTAACTGACAGCTCGCATTAGACTCTCCACGGAGACTATCAGAGACTTTTATGACTCTAGCTCAAAAGCCCACAGTGCACATTTAGCTTTTTTTTGCATAGTTTATAAATTGTTTATAGATTATATATATATATTGAATGGTATTCAAAACATTAAATGACTTCATGAAAGTTGATTGTATGCTTGGTCACTTTGCCATATTTAATATATGCTTTTATGCTTTGATTAATATAAATATGCTGTTGCTCTATGCCAACAAGCTCTTCACCTGCAGCTACACTACTGTTCAAAAGTTTTTTTTTTTTATTATTATATTAGCAAGCATGCATAAATTTATCAAAGTGACGGTAAATATATTTTATAATGTTACAAATAATCATCAATCCTGAAAAAAAAAATGTTCCAAGGTTTCCACAAGTATGAAGCTACACAACCATTTTCAACAAGTAATTATAAGAAATGTATCTTGAGCACCAAAACAGCATATTAAAATGATTTCTGAAGGATCGTGTGACACTTAAAACCTGAGTAATGGCTGCTGAAAATACAGCTTAGCTGTTTTCAATTAAAATATATTTTGGCAGTTTTCATTGTTATTATATTCCACAATATTACCGATTTACTGTATATTTAATCCAATAAATGCAGCATTGGTGATCATAAGGCACTTCATTCAAAAACATTCAAAATTCTTACCAACTCCAAACTTTTGAACAGTAGTGTGTATATATAGCACAACTTCGAGTGTTGTGTAGCTAACGGTTTAGAGTGAAAAGTTGAATAAACAAATAAACATGAATTTCAGAATGTCTTAATTTTTGATGTGTCACCCTTTTGCTTTAATGACAGCATCACTCAAACTGCATGAGCTCCACAAATTTGTGTAAAACATCATGAGTTCGGACCAGCTCAGGGCCATGACAAAGACACTACTGCAAAAGTATATGTACAGTAGATGTGTGTTCATACTTAGGATCAAAGACGCATGAACCTCTTCCTCTGTTACGGCCATAAAAGCACAGCTGTCGCAGGTCTCCCCCTCTGCAGTCATTTCTTCTCACTAAACCTGGCTCTCTCTCTCTAGCAAAGCTTAATAGTCATCATCATAGAGTATATAGAAACCAGAATATACAGTATAAGATATATTCCAGCGTGTTTGTTCTAAAAATGTGTTAATGTACAAAAAAAAAATCCCATAATGCTGTGTGCTGCTGTTATAACAGTGATATGGAAGCTTTCCAAAACAAAAATAGACAAAAAATGCTTCTCTGCTGTGTCTCAAATTCATTTCTTTACATGGAATACAAAATGATACCGTAAACAGTGATAAGATTTATAATTTCTCCTGTTATGTAGGAAATTAACTGCATGTTATTTGCTTTTTCCAGGTTTCTGCATGTTTGTACTGAGTTTAGTGAAGAAACATTACCGCCTGCAGTTTTATATGGTGTGTATCAGTCATTTATATGCCAGCCAGAACTAAACTGTTCATTTCATTCACAGTCATGTGCGCATCATGTGTTGGGCCTTTGTATACTCAGTAGTCCCATGTCATAATATGTCATATTATCACATTTAATGAGTTTACGTTACATACACTGAGCATTGTGAAGGTATTAAATGAGTCAGTGAAAGTATTAAATGTTTAAATGAGTCATTGCATGACATTTATTTTTAGTGTATGCAAGGCAGCACTTTTATTACTTTTATTCCGGTCCAGAAATGCGGGATTCATGGCCTTTTAGCATACAGACTTCATTTAGATTTTGCAATGTAAGTGATTTTAGTATTAGGTGTCCATTTTTTTAAATGAACTACACACAATAATGTTCGAAGTCAGTAAGATTTTTCACACTTTTCTTTTAAAGTCTCTTATGCTCACCAAAGCTGCGTTAATTTGATGAGACCTACAGTAAAAACAGTAATATTGTGAAATGTTATTACAATTTAAAATGACTGTTTTCTATTGTAATATATTTTAAAATGTAATTAATTCCTGTAATGGCAAAGCTGAATTTTCAGCAGCCGTTACTGAAAACAGTTGTAAGTAACTGCTAAATATTTTTGAGGAAACAGTGATACTTTTTTTTTTTCCAAAAGAACAGCATTTACAGTATCTTGTGATGATGCCCTTGCAAAATTTGGATTCTGAATTGGTCTCCTTTCTTGCAATTATTAGCATAATGAAATGTTATTGATGTTTTCATTGCACTCTAAAGATAGTGGCTCATAAACCTGACACCGTGACTACGTTTACATAGTGATTTTAGTATTAGGTGTCCATTTTTTAAATGAACTACACACAATAATGTTCGAAGTCAGTAAGATTTTTCACACTTTTCTTTTAAAGTCTCTTATGCTCACCAAAGCTGCATTAATTTGATGAGACCTACAGTAAAAACAGTAATATTGTGAAATGTTATTACAATTTAAAATGACTGTTTTCTATTGTAATATATTTTAAAATGTAATTAATTCCTGTAATGGCAAAGCTGAATTTTCAGCAGCCGTTACTGAAAACAGTTGTAAGTAACTGCTAAATATTTTTTGAGGAAACAGTGATACTTTTTTTTTTTTTTTCAAAAGAACAGCATTTACAGTATCTTGTGATGATGCCCTTGCAAAATTTGGATTCTGAATTGGTCTCCTTTCTTGCAATTATTAGCATAATGAAATGTTATTGATGTTTTCATTGCACTCTAAAGATAGTGGCTCATAAACCTGACACCGTGACTACGTTTACATGGACAACAATACTTTTTTAATACGATTAAGACAATTCTCTGATTAAGAATCTACCATGTAAACAGATTTTTGATTACCTTAATCTGGCTAAAGTCATAATCGATGTAAACACTATTCAAATTAAGACATGTGGAGTATTCCTATTTTAGTCACATTACTGAAGTGCAGTATAGACATTGTAAACACCTTAATCACATTATTACCGTCGTGTTGGACTTTTCGCCGCATTTTGCGTCAGGATACACACACGGCAGTGCTCAACCGTTTGACGGCAAATAAAAGAGCTTCAACACCGCCATCGTCTGTATGCACGTACAAATAATTAACTGCACTTGAAGCTTTCATAAAGTTAAAAATGAAACACCCAAAACTGTACATGGCATCATCACGAAGACGAACTATGTTTATTTGTGAAATTACGAAGGGGACGTCGTATGGCGTCACGTGGGACGTAATGACGTGTGCCATTAATCGAACTATGTACTATAACATGTAAAACAGGAACACGAAAGGAATATTCTAAAAGCAACTCATGTAAACACCATAATCATAATATTAACTTATTTAGAATAAGGTAAATAATTAGATTACTGATGTCCATGTAAACGTAGTCAGTGTCATGACATCAGAAATGGTGGCTCTGATGCTGCTTTCTATTGATTGAAGCTGCTGCCTTGCTAGCACTTATATTTCCTTCAAGACATGCACATATAGTTTTGATGTAAGTTTCTGGTTGGAAACTGAAGTGTTGTGCTGTTGAGCTACAGTGGTTCAGAATTTCTAATAATAGTCACAAATTGTGACTTGTTTCAGTCAAACCTCTGACGTCAGCAAAATGTCACTTTCTTTGAGTGTGGTCACACCCATTCCACATGAACTGAAAAACTGTGCTGCTGAAACACTCGGCAGCAAAATACTTTTTGTTACAGCCACGTTTGCTTGAGCGCTCAGTAGTCAAACATTTAGAATGTTTACTTTTATTTTATAGTCTTAGTACAGACTTCTGAATTAACATTTGTGAATAAAATTGTATTTCAACACAATAAATTACACTGTGATTGTGTTTGTTTGGATATGTGCCATAACTCGCTTTGCATTATCATTGTTTCAGTGAGTATATAACATTTCAACCGTTCACTCGTTTTGTTTGTGTGTGTGTGTGTGTGTGTGTGTGTGTGTTTGTTATTGCCATTCCAGTTTGCTTGGACCCATGTGACCTTGTTGATTGTGGTGACTCAGTCACATCTGGTTATTCAGAACCTGTTTGAAGGAATGATCTGGTAAGCCCACCTGACCTGACAGACCTGTCTGAGGTTTCACCTCACTCCTACTTGAGTTTCTCGAGCTGCATTTCTGTGTTTCCTGATGTTCCACTTGATAAAATGATAACTAGCTGCTCAAGGGAGAGCAGAAATACTAATTTCTATTCATAATTGTTCATCTTTTAGTTAAAGGGGTCATATGATGTTGCTAAAAAGAACATTTATTTTGTGTATTTGGTGCAATGAAATGTGTTTATGCGGTTTAAGGTTCAAAAAACATTATTTTCCACATACTGTACATTATTGTTTCTCCTCTATGCTCCGCCTTTCTGAAACAGTTCGATTTTTACAAAGCTCATTGGTCTGAAAAGCCAGGTGTGCTGTGATTGGCCAGCTATCCAATGCGTTGTGATTGGCCGAATACCTCAAGCGTGAGACGGAAATGTTACGCCCCTTACTATATTGTGATGCCCTGTCCAGCCGGCGCGATGAGACAAAACCAGAAAAACCCATTATAAACGAGGCATTTGTTGCATCCAGTATGGGACATAATTACGGATTATATTTACATATACTGTCTTTTATACTGTCCGTGTAGACATAAAACTCTGTCTGCATTTGTGACCGGAGAAATGGCAAACAACAAGCGCTACTCTACACTGCTCAAAACTCACGTTTGAATCATCAGTGGCAAATCCTTTAAATATGAAAAAAAACTTGCGTCTTTGAGTCAGAACAGCTGGCATTGTAGTCTACTCTACCAGGATCAGGAAACAGTCCTCCATAAAATGTGCTGCACACATCTGAATATTTGAGTTGAAGTGTTCTGGAACAGTGTTGTAAATACAACTTAACCACTGATTTCTAGTTGTGTCCTCTTTTGGAAGACCAAACAAAGTAGTTTGGCTTTCACAACGAGAAACAGCATCACACGGAGGGCTAGAGTGAGCTGCGGCCGGTGGGCTTGAGAACGGCGCAGGGGGGCGGGCTTGCGGCAACCACATGTGATAACCCCGGGCTGGACTCCGCTTCGTCCACGGTGAAAGCCGATCCGGCGATCCACAGCGCGAAGTTGTTGTATTTCCTCAGCGACCAACACGGATCATCTCTAGGCATGACGAAGCGGATATTGTCTGCCAAAGTGTACAACTTAACCACTGATTTCTAGTTGTGTCCTCTTTTGGAAGACCAAACAAAGTAGTTTCGCTTTCACAACGAAACACAGCATCACACGGAGGGCTAGAGTGAGCTGCGGCCGGTGGGCTTGAGAACGGCGCAGGGGGCGGGCTTGCGGCAACCACATGTGATAACCCCGGGCTGGACTCCGCTTCGTCCACGGTGAAAGCCGATCCGGCGATCCACAGCGCGAAGTTGATGTATTTCCTCAGCGACCAACACGGATCATCTCTAGGCATGACGAAGCGGATATTGTCTGCCAAAGTGGTTTCGCTTTCACAACGAAACACAGCGTCTCCATGACATGGCGGTGGCAGCAACAACAATACTACAGCAAGAATAAAAGTTGAGCCTTCTTTCTTTGCGTTAACATTTGGGCAGTGTTATGCAAATCTTCCCACATCGTGACGTAGATGTGTGGGGGCGTGTTAGAACGAGCCGTTTTAGGTAGGCGTGGAGAAGTCTTAACTTTGATAAAGAATAACTCTTTGGATTTGAGACTTTAGCCTTTGCAACTTTACGGATCTTCTTTATGCACCAAGAGCTTGTAACACTCCAAAGAGAAAGGAAAAATTTAAAACGCATCATATGACCCCTTTAACTTTATTCAAATTTACATTCTAATTCTCTAAAATAATTAACTGAAGTAAATGAAACTAACTTGAACTTTCTTTTCTCCCGTTGTCTGCACAATTTCTTCTCTCCTACAGTATGTGTTTGTAAAATGAAACTGTAATTTGTTCTCTAGGTTTATTGTTCCCATCTCTATTGTAATCTGTAATGACATCATGGCCTACCTGTTTGGCTTCTTTTTTGGAAGAACTCCACTGATTAAGGTGAACCTGTGAACCTTTGCATGGTAGATGTTTCCTCGCAGCACTAAACATTAGTGATAAACATTCTCCGTCCCTTAATTTTCTGAACTGATGACTACATTTCCATAATTGAATCCATTGTGGGTGAAAATTATCTCATCTCAAACCTCTTTGCTCTCTCGCAGCTCTCCCCAAAAAAAACCTGGGAAGGATTCATTGGGGGATTCTTTGCAACAGTGGTCTTCAGTTTCTTTGTAAGTCACCATTAGACCTTTGAGTAGGGTGACCATACATCCTTTTTTTTTCTTGGACATGTCCTGGCCAGGATTTCTAAATTGTCTAAAATGTAAGGGGTTTGGTATCCTCTCATACATTATATGTACATGTATTTGCACTGCTCTGACCGTTCTGTGTAGATTACACTTTGTAACACACCTCGATTAACCGATTATGTACAATGCCTTACTTTTCTTTTCAAGTATGAAACCTGGACTTTTTAGTACATTTTTAGGCAGATATGTCCCAGTTAAGATGTATCTGTATGTTGTATGCTCACCCTACCTTCAAGCAACACAAACAACTGTTATATCACTAAATTGTGTGACAACTAAAACCTCCTATTCCAGTTTGCGTACCTGCTATCCCAGTACCAGTACTTTGTTTGTCCAGTGGAATACAACAGTGAGACGAACCGTTTTGCGGTGGAGTGTGAGCCCTCAAATCTCTTCATGATACAGGAATACACACTTCCTGCAGTGGTGCAGAATGCAGTTAGATGGGTGAGTAGATGACGGGGCAAAACTACATACTGTAACAGCTAAGAGATTGTGGCCTAATACAGCTCTGCTGCTTAATATCTAATATTTGAGAGGGGTTGTCTTATTCCTAAATCCTTCGAAATGATAATCGTTTTGTAATGTAATGATGTCTACATCTTTCTTGTGTCTGCAGAAAACGGTGAACCTTTACCCATTTCAGATCCACAGTATTGCGCTCTCTACGTTCGCCTCTCTGATCGGACCATTTGGTGGATTCTTTGCCAGTGGCTTCAAACGAGCTTTCAAGATCAAAGTTAGTTCACATTCAGCAGCAGTCACACATAAACACTTGAATTTGGATCTTACAGTCTGTACCTACTTTGAGTGAGCGTGACACTGAGCTTGTGATTTTTCATTTTGTAGGACTTCGCGGACACCATTCCTGGTCATGGTGGTATAATGGATCGTTTTGACTGTCAGTATCTGATGGCAACGTTCGTTCATGTTTACATAACAAGTTTTATCAGGTGACCTCTCAACTCATTTGGTTACACCTTTTCCTTTCGAAAGATTAAATAAAAATGTTTATGGGAGAATTTGACACAGGATCCAAAATGTGCCAAATGTGTGTAAACATTGGCTTTGGCCAATGAAGTAGATACTCATGAGTGGGCTGTAACTTTATAAGTAATTACCTTGAACATAACACATGGTTTAAGTCAAACTATGACAGACAGTCTGACCTTTCTTAATTTAGGTGACTCAATTCAAATCAAAGAAATCTATTGAGACTGTGCATCTTCAATTGAATAATCCCAATGTCATAAAGACAAATGTATGTGATATGCTCCATTAATTTGAGTAACTTTGACCCACAAATGTAACAAAATTTTAAAAGACACGTCTAAACCGGCATTCACATGATCATGTCGTGGCAGTGGTTTAGAGTGGAAATGATGTCTAAACAAACATATTCATATTTTATTTGATCTATTTATATTATTTTAGTCCACTGTACAGCTTCAGTATATGTTGTATACTTTTGCATAAAATGTTTCCTATTTTATGATAGATAGATAGATAGATAGATAGATAGATAGATAGATTTTTATGTTTGGTGTATTATTTTTTTTTTAGCATTTTCTGTATTGTTTAGCATATTGGCACTTCCATGTTTGGTGTTTCTGTAATCCCAGTGGTCTGCACACAGGAAGCATGTTTGACCCTCCGTCATTTTTCCCTTCCCCAGGGGGCCGAACCCCAGTAAGGTTTTACAGCAGTTGCTTGTTCTGCAACCAGAGCAGCAACTCAGCATCTTCAATACGCTGCGCAACCACTTAGGAGAAAAGGGCATGCTGCCCCCTGCTGTGGAAGAAGCCCAATGACAGACGTCCCCACAAAGCCAGATCATGTCCTGTTGAACTCTCTAAGCATTCACCCATGACTGTGATGGCACGAGCACACTCTCGATAGATTTTTATGTTTGGTGTATATTGCAAAAATCTTTTTTTTTAGCATTTTCTGTATTGTTTAGCGTATTGGCACTTCCATGTTTGGTGTTTCTGTAATCCCAGTGGTCTGCACACAGGAAGCATGTTTGACCCTCCGTCATTTTTCCCTTCCCCAGGGGGCCGAACCCCAGTAAGGTTTTACAGCAGTTGCTTGTTCTGCAACCAGAGCAGCAACTCAGCATCTTCAATACGCTGCGCAACCACTTAGGAGAAAAGGGCATGCTGCCCCCTGCTGTGGAAGAAGCCCAATGACAGACGTCCCCACAAAGCCAGATCATGTCCTGTTGAACTCTCTAAGCATTCACCCATGACTGTGATGGCACGAGCACACTCTCAACCGACCACAGGAGCTCCCGTTCAGTGAGGGAGAGTGACGCCTGCTGCAAACCAAACTCTCACTTTCAACCCATTAGAAACTCACCAAATGAAGGAGGAAAATGACCGCAGGGGGGGCGACACGGTTCTCTTAATCAGAGCCACTGTCTGGGAAATCAACATCAAAGGTCTTCCAATCAACAAACATGCAAAACAAAAGATCCAAGTACATGGTAAGTGAATGTGTAGCACTATATGAAGGGGGCTTCAGCGGAGTGACATCATTGCACTGATTTTGTGATTCTGGCCTGATGTTATGAGCGCGTGATTTGCTTTGCGAACGCAATAACTCATGATGGTGACTTTCAGTTTTTGAGATGCCATAATTCCACGCTTAACATTTTAGTGTGAGCTTACTTTATAACGGGGGTCCTAAACTCAAAGCATTACAAAACAACGAGTCTAAAACAGAAGCATGTCTGTAAGTCCTACTGTTACTGCTTAAAATAGCCATGTTCTCTTTCCCTTTCACATTACTCAGTGTGTTAGTGTGAGCGCTGGAACAACTCACTTGTGTGTACATATCATCATATGTATTGTTGTACATAGATATTATACACTAGATCATATATAGAGATTATACATTTATTAAAATAATATATATGGTTTAACAAATTCTATATAATAGGAAGTTATGATTATGATATGCAAAAAGACTTGTCTTATTTTCTTAAATCCAGCATGACTAAACCTCTCTAGGGGTGGAGAATAACTTGAGCGGATTGTTTTCGGGGAGAGAAACAGCCTTTTTTGAGAAGGTGATTTGCTGTGTTCCCCTCCGTGACCATTGGTTTTAGTTGCACTGTACTAACTACGCGAGTCGAAAGATTCAATTAGCTTTTCAGGTTTTAATATAAAAAACTGGTGCTTTGAGTAGATATTCAATATTTGAAAACATGTAAACGTTCTTAGATTTACACAAAATTATTTATGCGCTTTTTATTTTTTTTGTTTGTAGTATCCTCCCTGCTATATTGGTTTTTAGCTGCTCTTGTTTTTAAAACCTGAATTTTCATTTTCATTTGTTGAAATCTTTCTGAATTCTTTACCAAACTAATGTGTACCAAAGCACTGGTAATTTTGCTGTAAAAAAAATGGTTAAACCACGATTGATATTGTCAAATGCTATAATCTTACAGTAGAGACCAATAAAATCCTATGAGATTGAATAATTTCGGCACTTACATGAACAAAAGTAACATTACTGCAGGTTATCATCAGACATTTTTAGGCTTTTAGTTAAAAGAAGTGGATTTGTAATAACCGGTGACCTTTGCCCTAATTGCACATCGGGCCTCAGTAGTGTAGTTTGGGACCAGTTGGCAATAGCTGCATTGTAAAACCTAAACAAAAAACACAGTAAGTGTGACCCCTACCTTATTCATTCATTTCTGCAATAGGTTTACATGTTCCTTTCCTTCACATCTGCTGTCCAGTAGATGCAGTCATGTGAGAATGGTGTGTTTGTAAGTAATATGAATTCTATCAGACCAAAAAGAGAATGCACCTCTAGATGTCTACAGCTGATTTTGTGGATGTCATAATTGTATTAGCAATTTAGGTTTTTTTAGAGCTGCTGTACAATTTAAGTTACAACGTTACCCAACACATAATATTGTGCAAGCTTATATTGTACAGAAATTTAGCTGAAAATGGGTTTCAAATTTGTTTAAAAACAAAAAAGGAACCTTTATTTATGTCTCTGTTTGATTTTCAGATTTGTTTTTTATGAGTTTTCAATAGTAAATATTTACCAGAAGACAAAAAAAGTAATAAGTTTATGGGAAATACTGAATAAATGTAAGAATTATTATTATTGCAATGCTACACTTGGTGAATAAACTTCACTTGTTTTGACTTACTCTCTGTGGTCACATTCATTACGTGATTTCAATCTGCCACCAAAAGTACTTCTGCAAGCAGCAATTGAGTTTATTCTCAAAATTGTATCTTTGTTTGTTGTTAAACAGTAACATGTGAGCAGACACATCTACAGTAGTTCCCAAAACAGACTGCTAATATGAAGGTATTAAAAAAGAAAATAACTTAAAATGACCATTAAAAACAAGTGCACTTTACATAACATCTTGCAGTATGGTAATGACATTTAGATGAAATACTAACAAAACAATCTCAAATGCTACAAAAACAATCAAAACATCTTATAATGCCTTACGCATCTTAATTATCTCTATATGCTCCATTCAGATCAGACTGTAAGTGCAATATTAATGTCATTATTTAATATAAGGTGCATCAGCAGTTTTGTCGTCACATGAAATGAAGAATAGATTTATGTAGAGCATTACAAAAACCTTGACCGAGCATTCGCCTCAACCTAATATATGTTGTTTTGGACGTTTATGCAGTTATACGAAAGATTTCCTCCACTAGAACATACCAAGACCTGAATTGCCGTTCCAGAAGAAAACCACAAATTACGTGCAAAAGTAATTCAAATTAAAAACAAGAATATACTTGTAATATTAAAACCAACATAACCTAAAAAACGTTTGTAGTTCTTACTGTGTGAATGAAGTGTTATGTAATTCACATTTAAATATGTACATAAAAACATAAATACAATGTTTTAACATGCTAATAAAAACATTAAGAGGCAAAAAAACCAACAACACTTTTGTGCATTTCTGTACTGTAAGGAGAACAAAAACTCTTCAGCTCTTCTCGGACCACTGCTATGACATTGAAGACTCATCATGAAGACCAATCACTTCCACAGTTTATTATACTAAAAGAGATTTGACCGATATGGACGTCTTCTGCAGTGCTCTAGCCTAACCTTGATTTTACGTCAAACATTGAGGCGTTTTCTTCTCCATTCACTGCTAAGCCACTATATCATTAATGGGCAGCTGTGAGTCCTCTTCCTCTACTGGAACACTATCCAAATCGTTCCTCGCAGGACAGAAGAGCAATCTGATCACCGCCAGCGCCACACGGACCAGCAACCTCAGTAAAAGAAAAGCAAATGGTACGCCAATCTCCATCATGTGAAAGATGGATGTGCTGAAGCGGCTCAGGACGCAGGTGAAGACGAAGGTCCCGAGCGCCACGCAGGGGTAGAGCGAGAGCTTGGCCAACATAAAGGTGTGCTCTCGACCGCCGTAGCGCACATACGGGTGCAATGTCTCGCGCTCCGTGAAAAGTGCCGTCACCCACATCGCTAGCTGGAACAGACCGGCGAAGAAGATGATGACGCAGCTGATCTGCACGGCCTCCAGCTCATTGCGGGAGCCTCTGGGAAATTCATGCGTGAGCTGGTAAGCGAGCGGCAGGCCGCCCACGAAGGCCAGCGAGAACGTGTTGAAGAGGCCCATGAGGCGAGTGGCCTTTGTCACATGCAGGAAGAGCGAGTGATGAACAAACCACAGCAGGCCGACGGTGGCGAAGGAACCGAAGTAAGCCAGGTACTCGGGACCATACTCCTGAAGCGCATCGATGAGGCTGTTGTCAAACTCCTTCTTCACCACAGACGGATCAGGTACGTTGCCTTCACTGTGTAAAGAAGATAGTTTATTAAAGAGGTCATATGATGCTTTTTTAAAAGATCATTATTTATGTGTATTTGGTGTAACAGAATATGTTGACATGCTTTAATGTAAAAAAAAACACATTTTTCAAATACTGTACATTATTGTAGGTCCTCTATGCCCCGCCTCTCTCAAACGCTTAGTTTTCTACAAAGTCCCTCCTTCCGACAAGCGCAGTGTGCTCTGATTGGCCAGCTGACCCAGTGCATTGTGATTGGCCGAACAACGCAAGCACTCGTCGGAAATGTAACGCCCCTTACCATAATCGCAAGCTTCATCTTTCAAAATAAATGTAAAGACAGAGACCGAAAGGGGAACAGAGTCGCGTGACAGACACGCTGATGAAGCTGTTATGTGTTTGCAGTACACAAGCCACGGTTAAGACAGCTGACTCCACTGTGATGTCTCTCTCTCTCTCTCTCTCGCTCTCGCTCGCACACACACACACATACACACGATGCGCAAAACTCCGCATTTGAACAGTCAATAGCAAATACTTAAACTAATAACAAAACAGTACCTGATTCAGAAGCACCAGATTGTCATAGCAAAGTCAGAATTACCTCCTCTCCTAGGTTCAGGGGGCGTGTTAGAACGAGCCGTTTTAGGGGGGCGTGGCAGAGTCTTAACTTTGATAAAGAATATCTCTTTGGTTTTGAGACTTTAGTCTTTGCAACTTCAGGGATCTTATCTATGCACAATCAGCTTGTAACACTCCAAAGAGAAAGGAAAACTTGAAATCGCATCATATGACCCCTTTAAGCTCTCAAATCTATTAGTTACCTTTGTGATATAATACTGGTTTTAACAAGGTGTTTCAAATGATGTACTAAAGAGAAGCACAGTGCAAATTCTTTGTAAGCTCCAGTAATGACAGAATTGCTTTGGAGGGATACAAACCAAATGTCTAAGATGAGCAGTGTGGCTACGATTGCATACACCCCGTCACTGAAGGCCTCCACTCGCTCTTTACTCAAAGGTTCACTGGGGTGGTAGGTGTAGAAGGGCACTGAATCTGGACTGTCTTCCACCTGACCTGAGTTCGTTAAAAAAAGTGATGATATGCAGATTACAGTAACTCCAATGACACTACAGTTCAAAAGTTTGGGATTTAAAAAAACAAACAAACAAAAGGAATACATCTGTTAAGCAAGAATGCACTGAATGATGATTTCCATTTCAAATAAACGCTATTCATTAAAGAATGCATCACTGTTTCCACAAAAATATTAAGCAGCACATCTGTTTTCAACACTGATAAAAATAAGAAGTGTTCCTTGAGCACCAGATCAGCATATTAGAATGATTTCTGAAGACGGGAGTACATTCAGCTTTGCAATCACAGAAATAAATGACATTTTAAAATGCATTCAAATAGAAAACAGCTGTTTTAAACTGTAATAATATTTCATAATATTTTGATCAAATTAATTCAGCCTTGGTGAACATAAGTGACTTTTCAAAAACATTTGAATAAAAATCCCACCTAACCCCAACCTTTTGAACAGTAGTGTATGAACAATGATAAAACATGTATCCAATATAAGAATAAGAGAGTAAAGTAAAGGTTTTGCTCTCACCGCCGATGGCTTTACTCCGGATCCATTTTAAACACTGAGAGATGTAAGGCAGGAATATGACAACAGCCAAAATGATGTAGGACTGCCAGAGGAAACATATAGAAATAAAAAGTATTAATTAAAATATATGACCCTGGAGCACAAAACCAGTCTTAAGTCGCTGGGGTATATTTGTAGCAATAGCCAAAAATACATTGTATGGGTCAAAATTATAGATTTTTCTTTTATGCCAAAAATAATTAGGACATTAAGTAAAGATCATGTTCCATGAAGATATTTTGTACATTTCCTACCGTAAATATATCCAAACTTAATTTTTTATTAGTAATATGCATTGCTAAGAACTTCATTTGGACAACTTTAAAGGCGATTTTCTCAATATTTTGATTTTTCTGCACCCTCAGATTCCAGATTTTCAAATAGTTGTGTCTCGGCCAAATATTAGTCCTATCCTAACAAACCATACATCAATGGAAAGCTTATTTATTCAGCGTGTATATGATGTATAGATCTCAATTTCTGAAAATTGATCCTTATGACTGGTTTTGTGGTCCAGGTTATAATGTATGTGATAAAATACAGTTTGGTTAAATTATGTATTTACATAATAAAACAAACTATAGAATTTTATCAGCAAATACACTTGTTGTATTTATATAAACACTGTAATTGGCTGCTTTTGTTTGTACTAATAAATAAAGTCCTGTACCAGTGGGATAAAGATGAATGAAAATATGCTGGCAAACAGACACATGATAGGAACCCTCATGATGACTTCAAGGATGCGTCGCTTGTAATAAGCCTGATTCTCAGACATTTGGATCTGATCATTGAGGAAGAAAGGACGGCTGAATCCATACAAGACAATCATGGCCTAAAAACAAAAAACATGACTGTAAAAAAACCCTCAAAGCATCTTATGCTGGCAATGTTATTCAGACATGCAAGCGTTCTCACCTGAATTAAACCAATCACCATGACACAAGCACAGAATAGCAGGATGCCAAGAGTATAACTAGGGAATGTTGCCATGAGAGAGAACTATAACAAGATAAACAAACAAAAAAACAGTCATAAACAGGCAGATTTTTTATTTCACTTAAAGAGGAGGTAAAAGTAAAGTACTGTACATAAGTCAAATTGTGCTAAACTAAGCAATCTTTCAAAACATCAGTAGAATGACTCACTGTGTATGGTAGAAAGGTTATAAGCATCATACATGCCTGGAATAGAACAGAGATGTGATGTTTCAAAGTCATTATACACTTTAAACATGAATACACAGGTACTTTACATTCATTAGGAACACTTTAGTTGGTGTTCTCACCAGGTTAAGCAGTGCAAGAGTGTCGTCAATGCGCTCGATGACTTGAAACAACCTAAAACCAAATGCTTAAATGAAATCTTTATGCAAATGAATGAAGACAGCAGTTACATGAAATGAATACTTGATAGACGTGTAGTGCTTGAGGGCTCTCACCGGATATGTGCAGCCCATGCAACAGTGACAATCAAAAAAGTCATCAAGTAGACAGCAATCTTGGTGGTGAGCAAAGCCTGAATGCTCTGTTTCAGTTCCTGAAGAGAGAGAGATCAGTTAGGAGATAAAAATACAACATTTGTGTTTAATTTGTATTCCTAAAGGAACGGTTCACCCAAAAATGATTTATACACCCTCATGTATATTTAAACCAGGCAGCGGTCCTCAAACAAGGACCCTCCCTCACTGTCAGAGACAATATTTTACGGCCCTCAAGGTATTTCTGAAACATCTGCATGACAATGCTACTCATTTTCAAACTTCATTAACAGAAAGCAGTAGTGCCAATAGATTTCAATTGTCCTGCTGCCCTCTTGGAAGTGTGCTGAGGACCCCTAGTGGGCCCCGGCTCCCTAGTTGAGAACCACTGCTCTAAACCAACAAGACTTTCTTTCTTCTCTGGAACACAAACATAGACAACAGACATTTCCCTTTCTTTTGTGTTTGTCTGCCTTCTGTGGAAGTCACACAGATCAACATGAGGGTGTGTAAATAAAGACTACATTTTCATTTTTGGTTGAGCTATTCCTGGAAGGGTAGCATAATATACTTTTTCACCTCATTATCCTGAAATTTTGTATGAGCAACAGGCAATATCTGTGAACACAAAAAATCATGACACCTTTTAAACATGCATGAGAGAACAGACTCATTGAAAACGAGAGCGGTTTGTCATGTGGAGGTCAGTAGAAATGAAGGTCGAAAGGCTGTCTGGGGGTTTCCTCACCATTACAGTGGCGATGATGGAGAGGAGCGCATCGCTGTAGGCGAGCAGGCGATGCGATGACTGCGTGCTACTGTATCCGACGCTCTCCGACGACGCGACGCTCTCCAGAAAGGAACGCGCGTGATTCCTCGGCGTCCGCATCTTCTCCATCTCCTCATCATCGTGGTGCTCGATTATTTGGCTTTCCTCGTTTTCTCCCATGACCGCGGCGGTGTGTGGTGTGTGTGGTGTCAGTGGACGGAGCAGTTTGGAGCCACAGAACTTTCGTTTGCTAACACCTATGACACACTATCAGCTGACCGGAAGTTCGCGATGTCTGCTTCGTGAACGAATCGTTCATTTGAGTCGGATCTTTTCAATGAAACAGCATGTTCAACAGCAAAGCTGAAATGAACGATTTGATTAGGACTCGAGCCGTGTGAGAGGTGCGAGTTAAAGGAAAGCCGGGTTTTTTCGTAATGATCAGAGAAACGATGTTAGATCATTACGAGTGAACCGAAGATTTGGCGAAAAGTTACTTTAATGGCAAAATAATAGACGTTTTAGTAAAAAAATAATTATTTAGTTTCTAAATAACGTATGTTTTTATTAGCAAAATGAAGCAAACTGATCTTTGGCACATACAATTAACGTCAAATCTTCACTGAATCGTTTTGAACAAGTTCTCTTAAACTTATACTTTATCCATAAATGTAGATATTTTAAATCCCCGCCTTTGTTTATTGTGTTTCAAATTGATCTAAAATACTTCTCAGATGCTCTTAGTAAAATGAAAAATCCAAAAGCAGTAAAACTACTTAATTTGTTTGTATTATATAATTCGTTGTAATTATGTATTTTTTTGTTATTTCATTTATTTTATGTTTCTTGGAATGTTTTGTTCTATGATTTGTCTGGAGCTTATTATGATTCTATTGTGTTGAGCCTTCCATACCAGAATCTTTTTTCTATACTAATTAATGCCAGTTTGTTGTATTCAGATTTTGTACCTAATAAAAAAACAAGTTCTCTTAAACGGACAGTTCTGTGAGCCGGACCTCGCATCGCTAAAATCACAGGTGAGTGAATCAAAGAACAACAGCCTAGAGCAGGGCTGTCCAAACTCAGTCCTGGAGAGCCGGTGTCCTGCAGAGTTCAGCTCCAACCTACCTCAACACACCTGACTGGAAGTTTCTATGGCTGTGTCCGAAATCGCCCCCTATACCCTTCAATAGGGCACTATTTGAGGGAACAGCCATTTTTAGTGTTGTCCGAAACCATAGTGGACGTTCTCGAGTGCACTCATTCAATCCCACAATGCACTGCAAAAACGAGTGTACAACTAGTGCACGCTCAACGGCTAGAGAATGCCCATAATGCACCGCGAGAGTCACGCGCCGAATGAATTGCCGCCTCTCGCCAGAAGATGGCGCTCGCAGCTGAATAATCAATCCCCGCTCATCCGTGGTGTACAGCAGAATGTACAACACGGGAATAAATTCATTGTAAATTGATTATTAAATTGTTTGATTAGGGTTTATACATGATTTCCGTGACAGCGTTCAAGATAAATCCTTTAATCTTACTACTGGAGCTGCTAGTTTGCTAGTTTCAAATGATTAATAAACAGCAAGCACAAACTATGCAAAAGCGGCATTCCTTCCGGTGCACTCAGTGTCCGAATTCACTACTCGTTTTCATTCACTCCTTCTAGTGAACTGAATTAGTGACCTAATGTAGGGTGCAGATTACAGTAACTCCAATGACACTACAGTTCAAAAGTTTGGGATTTAAAAAAACAAACAAACAAAAGGAATACATCTGTTAAGCAAGAATGCACTGAATGATGATTTCCATTTCAAATAAACGCTATTCATTAAAGAATGCATCACTGTTTCCACAAAAATATTAAGCAGCACATCTGTTTTCAACACTGATAAAAATAAGAAGTGTTCCTTGAGCACCAGATCAGCATATTAGAATGATTTCTGAAGACGGGAGTACATTCAGCTTTGCAATCACAGAAATAAATGACATTTTAAAATGCATTCAAATAGAAAACAGCTGTTTTAAACTGTAATAATATTTCATAATATTTTGATCAAATTAATTCAGCCTTGGTGAACATAAGTGACTTTTCAAAAACATTTGAATAAAAATCCCACCTAACCCCAACCTTTTGAACAGTAGTGTATGAACAATGATAAAACATGTATCCAATATAAGAATAAGAGAGTAAAGTAAAGGTTTTGCTCTCACCGCCGATGGCTTTACTCCGGATCCATTTTAAACACTGAGAGATGTAAGGCAGGAATATGACAACAGCCAAAATGATGTAGGACTGCCAGAGGAAACATATAGAAATAAAAAGTATTAATTAAAATATATGACCCTGGAGCACAAAACCAGTCTTAAGTCGCTGGGGTATATTTGTAGCAATAGCCAAAAATACATTGTATGGGTCAAAATTATAGATTTTTCTTTTATGCCAAAAATAATTAGGACATTAAGTAAAGATCATGTTCCATGAAGATATTTTGTACATTTCCTACCGTAAATATATCCAAACTTAATTTTTTATTAGTAATATGCATTGCTAAGAACTTCATTTGGACAACTTTAAAGGCGATTTTCTCAATATTTTGATTTTTCTGCACCCTCAGATTCCAGATTTTCAAATAGTTGTGTCTCGGCCAAATATTAGTCCTATCCTAACAAACCATACATCAATGGAAAGCTTATTTATTCAGCGTGTATATGATGTATAGATCTCAATTTCTGAAAATTGATCCTTATGACTGGTTTTGTGGTCCAGGTTATAATGTATGTGATAAAATACAGTTTGGTTAAATTATGTATTTACATAATAAAACAAACTATAGAATTTTATCAGCAAATACACTTGTTGTATTTATATAAACACTGTAATTGGCTGCTTTTGTTTGTACTAATAAATAAAGTCCTGTACCAGTGGGATAAAGATGAATGAAAATATGCTGGCAAACAGACACATGATAGGAACCCTCATGATGACTTCAAGGATGCGTCGCTTGTAATAAGCCTGATTCTCAGACATTTGGATCTGATCATTGAGGAAGAAAGGACGGCTGAATCCATACAAGACAATCATGGCCTAAAAACAAAAAACATGACTGTAAAAAAACCCTCAAAGCATCTTATGCTGGCAATGTTATTCAGACATGCAAGCGTTCTCACCTGAATTAAACCAATCACCATGACACAAGCACAGAATAGCAGGATGCCAAGAGTATAACTAGGGAATGTTGCCATGAGAGAGAACTATAACAAGATAAACAAACAAAAAAACAGTCATAAACAGGCAGATTTTTTATTTCACTTAAAGAGGAGGTAAAAGTAAAGTACTGTACATAAGTCAAATTGTGCTAAACTAAGCAATCTTTCAAAACATCAGTAGAATGACTCACTGTGTATGGTAGAAAGGTTATAAGCATCATACATGCCTGGAATAGAACAGAGATGTGATGTTTCAAAGTCATTATACACTTTAAACATGAATACACAGGTACTTTACATTCATTAGGAACACTTTAGTTGGTGTTCTCACCAGGTTAAGCAGTGCAAGAGTGTCGTCAATGCGCTCGATGACTTGAAACAACCTAAAACCAAATGCTTAAATGAAATCTTTATGCAAATGAATGAAGACAGCAGTTACATGAAATGAATACTTGATAGACGTGTAGTGCTTGAGGGCTCTCACCGGATATGTGCAGCCCATGCAACAGTGACAATCAAAAAAGTCATCAAGTAGACAGCAATCTTGGTGGTGAGCAAAGCCTGAATGCTCTGTTTCAGTTCCTGAAGAGAGAGAGATCAGTTAGGAGATAAAAATACAACATTTGTGTTTAATTTGTATTCCTAAAGGAACGGTTCACCCAAAAATGATTTATACACCCTCATGTATATTTAAACCAGGCAGCGGTCCTCAAACAAGGACCCTCCCTCACTGTCAGAGACAATATTTTACGGCCCTCAAGGTATTTCTGAAACATCTGCATGACAATGCTACTCATTTTCAAACTTCATTAACAGAAAGCAGTAGTGCCAATAGATTTCAATTGTCCTGCTGCCCTCTTGGAAGTGTGCTGAGGACCCCTAGTGGGCCCCGGCTCCCTAGTTGAGAACCACTGCTCTAAACCAACAAGACTTTCTTTCTTCTCTGGAACACAAACATAGACAACAGACATTTCCCTTTCTTTTGTGTTTGTCTGCCTTCTGTGGAAGTCACACAGATCAACATGAGGGTGTGTAAATAAAGACTACATTTTCATTTTTGGTTGAGCTATTCCTGGAAGGGTAGCATAATATACTTTTTCACCTCATTATCCTGAAATTTTGTATGAGCAACAGGCAATATCTGTGAACACAAAAAATCATGACACCTTTTAAACATGCATGAGAGAACAGACTCATTGAAAACGAGAGCGGTTTGTCATGTGGAGGTCAGTAGAAATGAAGGTCGAAAGGCTGTCTGGGGGTTTCCTCACCATTACAGTGGCGATGATGGAGAGGAGCGCATCGCTGTAGGCGAGCAGGCGATGCGATGACTGCGTGCTACTGTATCCGACGCTCTCCGACGACGCGACGCTCTCCAGAAAGGAACGCGCGTGATTCCTCGGCGTCCGCATCTTCTCCATCTCCTCATCATCGTGGTGCTCGATTATTTGGCTTTCCTCGTTTTCTCCCATGACCGCGGCGGTGTGTGGTGTCAGTGGACGGAGCAGGCATGAGCCACAGAACTTTCGTTTGCTAACACCTATGACACACTATCAGCTGACCGGAAGTTCGCGATGTCTGCTTCGTGAACGAATCGTTCATTTGAGTCGGATCTTTTCAATGAAACAGCATGTTCAACAGCAAAGCTGAAATGAACGATTTGATTAGGACTCGAGCCGTGTGAGAGGTGCGAGTTAAAGGAAAGCCGGGTTTTTTCGTAATGATCAGAGAAACGATGTTAGATCATTACGAGTGAACCGAAGATTTGGCGAAAAGTTACTTTAATGGCAAAATAATAGACGTTTTAGTAAAAAAATAATTATTTAGTTTCTAAATAACGTATGTTTTTATTAGCAAAATGAAGCAAACTGATCTTTGGCACATACAATTAACGTCAAATCTTCACTGAATCGTTTTGAACAAGTTCTCTTAAACTTATACTTTATCCATAAATGTAGATATTTTAAATCCCCGCCTTTGTTTATTGTGTTTCAAATTGATCTAAAATACTTCTCAGATGCTCTTAGTAAAATGAAAAATCCAAAAGCAGTAAAACTACTTAATTTGTTTGTATTATATAATTCGTTGTAATTATGTATTTTTTTGTTATTTCATTTATTTTATGTTTCTTGGAATGTTTTGTTCTATGATTTGTCTGGAGCTTATTATGATTCTATTGTGTTGAGCCTTCCATACCAGAATCTTTTTTCTATACTAATTAATGCCAGTTTGTTGTATTCAGATTTTGTACCTAATAAAAAAACAAGTTCTCTTAAACGGACAGTTCTGTGAGCCGGACCTCGCATCGCTAAAATCACAGGTGAGTGAATCAAAGAACAACAGCCTAGAGCAGGGCTGTCCAAACTCGGTCCTGGAGAGCCGGTGTCCTGCAGAGTTCAGCTCCAACCTACCTCAACACACCTGACTGGAAGTTTCTATGGCTGTGTCCGAAATCGCCCCCCTATACCCTTCAATAGGGCACTATTTGAGGGAACAGCCATTTTTAGTGTTGTCCGAAACCATAGTGGACGTTCTCGAGTGCACTCATTCAATCCCACAATGCACTGCAAAAACGAGTGTACAACTAGTGCACGCTCAACGGCTAGAGAATGCCCATAATGCACCGCGAGAGTCACGCGCCGAATGAATTGCCGCCTCTCGCCAGAAGATGGCGCTCGCAGCTGAATAATCAATCCCCGCTCATCCGTGGTGTACAGCAGAATGTACAACACGGGAATAAATTCATTGTAAATTGATTATTAAATTGTTTGATTAGGGTTTATACATGATTCCCGTGACAGCGTTCAAGATAAATCCTTTAATCTTACTACTGCAGCTGCTAGTTTGCTAGATTCAAATGATTAATAAACAGCAAGCACAAACTATGCAAAAGCGGCATTCCTTCCGGTGCACTCAGTGTCCGAATTCACTACTCGTTTTCATTCACTCCTTCTAGTGAACTGAATTAGTGACCTAATGTAGGGGGCGATTTCGTATGCCTAGTAAGAGCTTGATTAGCTGGTTCAGGTGTGTTTAATTAGGGTTGGATCTCAACTCTGCAGGACACCGGCCCTCAGGACCGAGTTTGGACAGCCCTGGCCTAGGCTGCGTTCCAGTCCGTTTTTTTTATGCCCTTCACTCGCAAACTTCCCTCCGTCTCGTTTACTCGGATGTATGTCATTGATTACGTTGCATGAGCGCTCACTTCTGGTGGAACACTTGGAATGGGCTGAACTGGAACAACCTTCATCACTTAGAATCCACGTTGCATCGCGCCGCGTAAACATAAAACCATGTCTGCATTTGCAGAAATGCGAAGTACCACTAGAGGGAGACAAAACTTTGTTTACTGAGCTGACTGTCACAGACTAGCCAACTCTAGAGACACGAAATCACCCCCAGCTAAATCACTGTCAGTTTCTGCATTATTTGCAAGTCATATTTGTGTTTTTACCAGTTTGTCTGTTATAATGGAGGCAGCAGAATATGCCAGCACTTTCTTGCGCAACTCTGCAATTCAAAGATAAATTTTGTTCACCCAAAAATGAAATGTGTCATTCTTGAGACATGGGACAAAACAGGTCCAGCAAGGGTAACTGCTATTAGGTTTAAAAATAAAAATATTTTCAATTTTAAATGTCATGAGGGATTAATAATTGAATGTATTTAACATCATTAATTATCACCTTCAATTTAATTTTCTCATTATTATACCAAATCTCTGTTTCTTAATGTCCTCTCACTACATCTAAAACAGTGTGTCCACAGAGAAGGGTTCAATCATTCATATGCAATAAAATGGATAAAAACTAAAAAAAAGCACATTTTGTTAAAATATATATACATATAAGATACATAAATGTAGTTTCATTTGTCTGAGTACAAGGTTTTATTTTTTCAATTTTGCACCCTGTTTTGTCCCACTTTTCAAGAATGACTGTGTCCCAGGCCAGCAAGCATTCAGTGAAATCCAAATCAGGAGGCGTATCAAGCTAGGACTGTATGCTCCTGTAATCCTGTTTGTTTGAAAGAGTGAAAGAAAGAGAAGAAGAGAGAGAGAAGAGAAACAGTCTGTTTTTATGAGCCTTTTTTATAGTCCCTACAGATCAACACAGTCCCAAACAAAATACTGGGAGACAGCAGCAGAACAGCTCCTTTTGTTTTTTTCATGAAATTTCAAAGTGGCCAGTTACAGAATGGAACAGTAACCTAGCAAATAACAGTCAGTCATTCTCATTATCAAAAGATTGTACAACCAAATATCACATTATACATGCTGACACACACCTGCACAAAGCCTTTGTGACTCGTGAGTGAGAACACAAATTATGTAAAAAAATGTATTAAGGGCAAAGTCAAAAAAGAGTCTAAAACACTATCATTTATTAATAATAGCAGCTTTGTTCCATTGAAAACCAATCAATTCCTGAACACACTCCAAAATTACAAGCATGACCAGAGCAATATTTATACAAAGACATCCATCCATCTTTCTTCCTGTTGTGGTACGTATAACCCTCGCCTCTATTTAAAACAAAGCTGTTCAGTTCAACCGGCATTGTGATCCTCTGATGGCATATTTGCATCTGTTCTTCTGTTAGTAATTTGCCACCACTTGCTTTTAATTTTTACAAGCATTACATTTTATTATTATTATTATTATTATTATTATTCAAAATGTCTGCCTTAGTTAAATGTTCTGTAAAGGCTTTTCTAAGGAGACATCTGTTCACGCTATTCATTCAAGTATAACATTTATTCAATACAAAATGACATACCCAAAAGCATTAGATGCTTTCAAAGCCTTTCTGTTGTTTTGCTATTTGCTTTTTGTTGTTGTGAGATTATACCTGATTATAGATGACATATTGGCATACTGAATGTATATGTACCTTGTATATTTGACAGAAAATGAAGCATTGTTGCTTTGCTTTTACATCAAATCCCAGTAGGCTTTTTTCTGTGATAAACTCATTAATACCTTTACTGCCATATTTGGCAGCCCATTACATTGTTTTCTGCTGGCATGTTTTTTTTTGTGCTAACTTAACAGAACTGTTCAGCATAGCAGCATAATGCTATAATATCACTGAACACTGACATACAGTATATGATTGTTCACATAACTTCTTTTTGCTAGTCAGTAAAGTCTGTTAAGCTCAATTATACTGTGCAACATTAGCAATAGTGCCTGTGCATGACCTCTGTGATTGATTACGGCAGTACAGGAGTCAGATGCCGTGACGGTCGATCCTTGTTGCTTCTTTGCAAAATGGATTATCAAGTAGAGATGAGAGTCTGTTTGACAGAATGATCAAGCACAGATTAAAAACAACATGATGATAGAACAAATCTATGACAACTTTGTGTGAAATGGACAGATTTATTGTTTACTTTCAGTGATTTACTGGATCACTGAACAGGTTTTACGCCAGAAGCCCTTTCTGATTCAAATAAATAATGTTCGGATAATTGTGCGGATAATCCATTTCTGATACAAATCAGCACTGAGTGCACAACTCTCACAACCCCAGTTCTGGGATAACCCTTTGCCTGAAAAGTAAAGCCAAAACATTTTGATTGCCTCCTGCTGTATGACTGCAGTATAGGCCAAACAAATGGGACATGAGCCAAACTAAAACCAAAAAAATAAATTTACAATTCAAATATTTTTCCCCAAAGATAGTCTTTGTCATTTTCCGTAGTTCTTATATTCATGTATATATGGTTTGTCTTTTCTAACCTCTTCTTACCACTCTACTTTTATCATATACTTTTATTGCAATGAAAGTACAAACATTCTACAAACAAAAACCATCCTAAAGTTTGCATATAACACTTACCAAAACAATCCAGCTGAAATCACTCATTTGTAACCCACCATGAAACAATATGTAAATACCATTTCAAATAGTATATATATATATATATATATATATATATAT